CCTCAAAGCCTGCTTCAGCCCATAAATGGACCTCTTCAGCTTGCAGACCAGATGCTCCTGGCCCTTTGCAATGAATCCTTCTGGTTGCTGCATATAGATGTCCTCGTCCAAATTCTCGTTAAGGAAAGCGGTCTTAACATCCATTTTCCAAATCTCATAATACATATGTGTGGCCACAGCCAAGAGAATCCTGATGGATTTGAGCATGGCTACCGGCGAAAAGGTTTCCTCATAATCGATCCCTTCTTTCTGAGTGTACCCTTTCGCAACAAGCCTAGCTTTGAAGGTCTCAACCTTCCCATATGATCCTCTCTTTCTCTTATAGACCCATTTTCATCCAATGGCGCGAACGCCACTGGGTGGTTCTACAAGATCCCAGACCTGATTAGCGTCCATTGACTCTATTTCAAATTTCATCGCCTTTTGCCAAGACTCTGCGTCCCGATCTTGGAGTGCCTCATTGTATGTCCATGGGTCGGATTCAAGAACGTCTGGGACGGCCTCAGAAGACTCTCCCAGACCCATGAACTGTTCGGGTTGCCGGACAACCCTCCCACTACGACGAGGTACTACCTGCTCAAGTGTAACGTCAGCGATACGTGTTGCAGTACTTTGTGGTGTAACATCTAGCGCACTCGGTATTGAAGTACTCACTCCCTTTAACTCCTCAAGAACATGTCTACTACTGGGCTTATGATCTAAGACATAGTCTTCTTCCAAGAACCTTGCATTCGTGCTAACGATTACTTTGTGGTCCTCGGGACTATAAAATAGACCATCTTTCGTTTCCCCAGAATATCCCACAAACAGCCTTACTTCTGATCTCGGTTCCAACTTATCAGTATCGGTTCTCAGCACATGTGTTGGGCTGCCCCAAATCCTGAGATGTCTTAGACTAAGCTTATGCCCAGATCACAACTCCAATGGTGTAGACGGTACTAATTTAGAAGGCACTCTATTCGGAATGTATACCGCTGTTTCTAGGGCATATCCCCAAAACGAATCTGGTAAACTACTTTAACTCATCATTGCCCTAACCATTTCCATAAGTCATGTTCCTCCGTTCTGCTACGCCATTCTGCTGAGGCGTGCCAGGCGCAGTCAGCTGGGACGTAATCTCATTATCCGTCAAGTAGATCCTAAATTCATTCGAGAGATATTCGCCACCACGATCTGATCGTAATGACTTGATACTTTTTCCTAACTGCTTCTCCACAACTGCCTTATACTCCAAGAACTTCTCAAAGCATTCAGACTTGCGATCCAGAAGGAAAATGTACCCATATCTCGAGTAATCATCGATAAACGTAACGAAGTACTCGAAACCACCTCTCGCTTGAATACTCATAGGACCACATAGATCGGAATGAACTAGCCCTAACACATCTTCGGCTCTATGCCCCTTTGAACTAAAAGTCCTCTTAGTCATTTTACATTCCAGGCAAGACTCACAAGTTGGAAAAGCCTCGACTTCTAACGACCCCAAGGGCCCGTCTGCTACCAACCTTTG